AGAAAATGTTTTGAGAAACGATGTACAAATGCGCTTTACACAATTGATGTGTGTATGGATTGGGATAACAGTTGCATGAGTCCCTAATAAAATGTTTTAAAAAAAAGATATATTTCCTAAATATACATTAACTAAATATGTTATCTAAAAATAACATATTTCTTTAATATATTTCTTAAATATTCTACACAGACCACATTTCTACTATTCTAAAACCAATACATAATTTTTCTTTTTTTTAATAACAAAATTGCTGCTATAATTGCTGTTAGTGGCCATCAAGTTAAAGCCAAGTCATGGCGATCCTATGTGTTGCTCCATAGGCTAAACATAGATTAAAACAGCTTCATAGGCTTTTCTTAGCTGTCCTCTTAACAGAAGCACATTACCACGCTGCCTCCCATGGTACCACAGGGCGGATTGAAATTACCAACCTTGACATTAGCAGTCAAGAGCACACTGTCTGCGCCACTCACTTACTAAGCTTGTACAATGTGCATGAGGATACAATGGTTAAGAACACTCTATCTACAATGCTTCAGTTAATCTTTACAACTGCACTGTAAGGCAAGTCTGATTATATTTCTCCAGTACTAAGAGACCACTGATTGTAATAGTTATGAGGAAGGTTGAAGGAGGGAAAGGGAAGGGAAAATTACAGCATCCACATTGATTGCAGTATTCAACCCAATAAAGTGCATTAGCAGCTATTTCTTAGAACTGAAAGATTATCATGATAATCTCCCACCATTACAGATGAGAATATAGGTACATAAAGTGGACAGGACCCGTGTCCCAGTTCACAGAACTAGTAGGCTGCTAGACTCTGTACCAGGTCTTTATTCACCAATATAAATCGTACAGTCACCCCTCAGGGATCTGTAGTGCTCTACAGAAATTCATCATCCTTTTTTCATAAGAACTAAACCAAGGGTTCGATGAGAAGCTAAACCTGAATCTGGCCGTAACCATCACCAATACAGAATGCACAAACACAGCTTCTTGCTTGCACATTCTCTTATCTTCAGTGAGAAATCCAAACAGTCCCAAAGCTATCAAAAGCATCCTGTCAAAAAACAAAGGACAAAATTGCATCCGTGACACAACTGATAGTGAGGCCTTTGGGTGGCACAAACAGTTTGCACTCCATGATTAACCTAAAGATCAGTGGTTCAAATCCACCCAGGAACACCACAGAAGAAAGGCCTTGTGATCTGCTGTCATAAAGATTACAGTCAAGGAAATGCTACAGAACAGAGTTCTACTTTTGAACATCTGCAGCCACAAGGGTCAAAGCCAACTCAATGACAATGGGTGCCAAGTGTAGACAATGATGATGAAAAATCTATAAATTCTTACTTGGCAAGGCTTATAAAACACTGCTAAAAGAAAAAATTCAAATATAAAACTGGACAAAATATATTTCTATTATATTTGAAAAGGAAGAAAAAATAGATTGCAAATAGGAAGAAAGATTGCTAAAAAAATCATTTAAAACAGAAATAATGATGTGAAGTGTTTATAAACCAAAAAATACACCATGAAAGTTTTTGGTAAAAAAAAAAAAACATTATGTTTGGCAAGATGTATGGGTGGTAGCTTTTCATTCTTTCTACGTTTTTGTGTTCCAAGCTTTTCACTTTCATTTTTAAAATTTCATATACAGAAATATATTTTTAAAACAATAAATTAAAACAAAGATAAACCTCAATCCAAGAGGAATATTAAAAATTATAATACATTTGAAATGGGTCAAATATGCTTAAAGGATAAAGGGTTACATTTTAACCTAACTGCATCTGCAATCATCCACTTCCCCAAGCATTCTGCACGATCGCAAGGCCATTCACATTCCTGGTCTATGGGCACAGTATTTCTCCTTCACTTTTTTCCAGCTTTTCATTTTTATATGAAAAAACCTCACTGCCACCAAGTTGTTGCCGATTCAAAGTAGCCCTATAGGATAATATAGAACTGCCTCTGTGGGTTTCTGAGACTGTCACTCTTTGTGGGCGTAGAAAGCCCCGTCTTTCTCCTGAGGAGCAGCTGGTGGCTTCCAATCGCTGACCTTGCCATTAGCAGCCCAACATGGAACCAACATATATGCCTCCAGGGCTCCTTTTACATGAAATCATCTAAAAATTAACCATGCTAAACTAGAAAGAAACTGGGTCAAAAGGCAGTCGTGGATTTGCCCAAGGTCACAGAGCCGAACGTCCCAGGTTTGGGTACGGTGCCAAACCATAGGACTCGGCCAGAAGGGCAGGCTGCGAGCTACTCTCTCCAGGCTCATTATGCCCCGGCTTCTCTCCCTGCAGCCCAGACATGTCTCGTCAACATGATTTCTCTGCCCACCGCGAAGGCATCAATCTTTTATAAAATCTGAAAGGCCAAAGCAAGATGCTTAATTAAAAAAAAAAACACCCAAACCCAGTACAGTGGATAACCACCACCTGTCTGTCAGCTTGTCGTGCCATGTTAGCTTGTGCATTGCTGTGAAGCTAGAAGCTATGGCAGTGGTGGTTCAGGTGCCAGGGGTCACCCAAAGTGACCAGGCTTCAGCAGAGCTTCCAGACCAAGAGCAGACGGCAAAGAGGACTCAGCTCCTCACGTTGGAGGAAGAAGCTGCTGAAAACTATGCCGAGCTTCGAAGCATTTCCAAAGACTGAACTTCTAAACAAAGGAAGCAGAACCCATCGGTCACACTGCTGGCAGATGGCCCTCAGCTTCGAGGGCACTCGAAAGGCAAATCTGCAGCACAGGCCCTCTATAGAATATTGAAGAGCAAGGATGTTACTACTCTGAGGACGAAAGTGCACCTGACCCCAGCCATGGTATTCTCCATCGCGTCGCGTGCCCGTGAAAGCTGGACACTGAATCCGGAAGACGGTAGAAGAGTCAATGTACTTGAATTGTGGGGCTAGAGATGAATATTGAAAGTACGGAGGACTGCTAAAAAGAAAATCCAATCTGTATTGGAAAAAAATAAGGCCAGAGTGTTCCTTAAAGGCAAGGATGGCAAGACTCCGTGGTCCATACGTTGGCCATGTAGTCAGGAGAGACCAGTCCCTGGAGAAGGGCATCCTGCTTGGTGAAGTGGAGGAGCAGGGAAAGAGGAAGGCGCTCAAGGAGATGGACTGACACCGTGCTGCATCTTTGGGCTCAAGCAGAGGAACGCTTGTGAGGCTGGTGCAAGGCCATGTGGTGTTGTGTCGTGTTGTTCAAAGGGCCGCTATGGGTCAGAGCCAACCCCATGGCGCCTAACAACCACAACCACCACCGACAATGAAGCCATTCTTTTGTGAGTTGTCATATTGACAGTAGTCTTGATGGTGGGGATAGAGGGGGAACCGGGAGTGGGGAGGAGAATGTAATCATGAAAAAAAAACCACA